CACACACACACACACACAAACACACATATTATACAAAAACACCAAAACATAACAAAACCAAATTTTTAAAAACATACGTAAAATTTCCCTTCCCAGCATGCAACGTAGTTCGAAGTGGCGAGACCGTTCCCTTCCGCGTCAACCCGAGGGGCGGTACCCGTCTGACGTCATCAGAGTGCGACGCCATTGGTCAACTCTTGGACAAGTTTGTCCCGACCTTCCTGCAGAACTTCGTACCCAGCGACATCGTCAGGAACGACCTCGGAAACAACAACAACAATAACAACAACCCAAACAACAATAACAACTTCCTGCCCAATGACTTCATCCTTAACAACAACAATAACAACAACAACAACTTCCTCCCTAACGATTTTAACCTTAACAATAACAATAATAATAACAACAACAACAACCTGTTCCCCTCATCTTTCATCAACAACAACAACTTAAACAATAACGACCCCGGCAACAGCTTTGTGTTCGGCGGCCCCACCACCGCCACCGGCGCCACCAACATCAACGATTTCATCAACGTGAGGAACGACGGAGACAGCTGCACCATCGCTGTACCAAACATCGTGCCACAATGCTAGGCGCGACAGCGTTCAAGTGCACGATGTTGAGTAGCTTAGCTTCGTCATGACGTTTATGGAGACTAGTGTCTCCAGACCATCAGACGATCGTACACATGTTTTGTTATTATTAGTAAGTTGCACAAGAAGAAAGTTATCTACTTTACGCAACTACCGCCTAGGTAGAACCCAACATTTCAAAGGTTCAATTACCAATAGGTATAGAATGCAATGATTCTGAACCTGTGAAGTATGACCCAACTGTCTCAACAATGTATAATTTCATCCATCATTGTCTTCACCCTTTCACAGCGATGTATGGAAGTTAATATACGATAAATGAATGAATTGTATTTGGCGTATCCGTGTTACCTGCTTTGCGTGAGATACGACTGTCATTATCAATGCTGTGTTCATGACTGTTGTGCCCCTAGCCTGGCCATCTGCAAGGTTTTGGTATTTTATGTGCACCCCTGATCCTCTTTGAACATACATTTTGTTTGATCAAACTCTGTCCATTCTCTCTAACACGGTAGCACGTCACGTATAATTAAGAAACAAAATCACCGTCTTGTCTCTTACATATGTAGTGAAAAAAAATCTCCATACATTTGTAATGATATCCCCTTACATTTGTAACGATATTCCTTTACATTTGTAATGATATTCTCTGAATGGATGTGTACATAGCGGACCTCAACTTCTACTCCTCCAATCACCATACTCTTTTCTTTTCATCTCTTTTTCACTACTGAGAAATGTACATAGTATAACAAAACAGTTATTTATGTAAACAATTATAATAATGTTTATACTTGCATGCCATATTTATCTTTAGCCATAATGTTCATGGACAACAACGTGAAATGTTCATAATCAATTAGAATTAATGACGTGTTGATATGACTTACATTTTCTGAATAATATATAACTTATTGTTGATCCAATCTGGGTTTTTGAAAATGTTTGGTCAGATATGTGTCTATTAAAAGTGAAAACACTTTTCTAATAATTTCTCGTGTTTTTTTTTCTTTTCGTGTACAACATGCACACTGTAGATTAAGGAGTGGGCGTTTTCTGTCACAGTCGTTTTGTGATCTCCCTCTTTCTCTTCTCTCTCTCTCTCTCTCTCTCTCTCTCTCT